TATATATATATATATATATAAAATAAAAGAAAGAAAAAAGATATATTGTTATTCTATTATGCGACTATTGTGCTTCTTGGTATAATGCCGTATTGTCTAGATTGAGCAAACCAAATCAAATTGATTTGCTTTGCTCGACCGCCGACGATTATTTACTGTCAATGCTGCATCTAATACGATTAATCCTTTCACGTGACCAAATTTGTAGAACATGCGAGATCACGCTTCTCTTGGAAATCAATTATGATTCCTTCTTTTGCGGTTCTTTCGCGACGTCATCATTATATTCTCGGACTGTGACGGAATCAAATCGTTTAAATGCGAGTCGTCACTGTGACGTCTTGTCTGATGCATCTGTCGGTCGTACATCCTATGATGAAAAGATATTTTTAAGATATCGTTCATTCATACGCATGTTTTTTTTTTTTCCCACGAACGCTTTGACTCAGCGAGCAAGGTCGTCCGCGAGAGACTTGTTCTGAAAAGATTTCATCTCTATTTCGAAGAAAAATCGCCACCGTGATCGTCGGAAATTCTACGTAAATGAACGACGGCGCACTTATTTTGGACCGTCTGACCGCGTGTGATTCATCGAAAGAAGAGATCCGTGGCATTATCAAGGTCGGTATATGTCGTCCTTCGTCTTACAAATTTTTAGGCGCCGCATCGTATTATAAAACTCTCGGGCGCAATCTCTGTGCATTCTCAGGGACCGAAAGAAATATATATTAATCAGAGAAATTGATCGCGAGTTATCCTACCTGGAAAAAAGATGACCGTGAGAGAATATATTGCGTGTCAAAAAGGATCATCCCATTACGATTTTATATATTAGTAATAATTTATTTCGTTTAATATACTTGGTTATTAAATATTTTAATCGTCTGTTGCAAAATAATCCGTATTGAGAATTATTTTAGAGAATAATTAATTATTAAATTTATGTATAATTTCACTTGCAATTGCTTGATACGGCTTCTATATTTGTGCTTTCATCAGCTTGGATATTGTTTTCGATTGCTGTTAATTGAACTATATTCGAATTTACGCGCGATAGAACTTTGTAAAACGGGTAACGTCGATATTAAACGAGACATTTAAATCAGGGCATTGGAATCAAAAGGAATATTCTTTTACCACTCAATCGTGAGATCAAAGAGATGTTATCCATCTTAATTTGTTTAATATGGTTCGCTGAATACGATTTTGAGGCTCAGTGGCATTTCACGGTTATATTGCTATGAAGGAGATTTATGCATATAAAATGAACAACTTTATTTAAAAAGTCGTTAACTTTAGTCGAGTTATTAGTCGTTAAAAGTGTACACGAGAGACACACGAGCGTAAACTTTGAAGAAGTAGAGATATAATCTTCCTATTGTTCCAGTCAACCCTACTTTCGTGCTTATTAATACGCGAGATCGACGGGAACAATTTTGTTGATGCGCAATCTCGTCGAATTAACTTTACCTTCCACTTCACGCGCCATTGTATTTAATGATTTATATCAACCTTTCGATCTTAAATTTTAGACTAGAAGCGCTTGGAAAGTGCAAATGGAAATCGCGAGAGAAAATCACTCGAAAGATTTTCTTCTCAAGTGCTTCCTGGGAACCGAGTTGGGATATGACACTTCAAGATCATAGTGAAATCGTGACTTTCAGTGTCTTCACTTCCCACACCTTCGCGCTTTGACGTCGCGATCATTATTCCTAATAAGCGTTAACTCGCTATTAGTTTAATTTCAATATTTAATTTGAAATCGACGACAAAACGAGAGCTGCATAATATGTACATATTCGTACATATTTGATTTGAATCAATCCTGCATGGTTGTACGAAACGCATGGCATATAAATATAGCGAATACGTAATCGTTATACAACTAAATGTTATACAATTAAAATTATACATCATAATAGCATAACGCTTGACAATTTTTCCATTTTCCCCGTTCTGTTCGTTTTTTATAACTATATTGTATACGAGATTATATACTGTATACAATTTAAATTATTAAAAAAAAAACGCACATTTTTTACTTTCTTTTAATTATTAAAATAATTATAATCTTGATATTTTTTAAATTATTAAATTTACCAAATCACAATTCGCAAACAAACTCTTTTCTTTTCAAACTTGGAAAGATGTTATCGCTTATTGTAAATGTATGCACTTTGTTTCGGAGGATATAACACTCGCAGTACATCGTACGCTTTCAAACAAGCGATCTGTATTTTTCACCGGACGTGTACGGCCTATTGTTCGTCATCATGCGCGTCGTGCGCCTTTATTTTCCCGCGATTTTACATGAAAGTGAGAAGGCGTTTTCTCGCGTATTTTAACGAGACCTGCTGGGAAGTGGGTCGAATTGGTTAATTTCAAGATCACGGCGAAAAGGTTGCTCCTTGTGACCGTGTGCCGTATGTTAAGGCCTTTAATCGAGGCTTTATATCTCTGTATTATTTATCTGGGACATAGAAACTGTAGAATGAACATGCACTCTCTACGCATTTGCTTTTATTCATGAAGATTTCATACAAGAAACGAGATCTGTGTGTTTTCACTTTTATCTAGCGCCGCAATTAACGCTGCATGCGACTGTCTGGTTTATCTGTTTCATATAAAAATCGCGTTCAATATGAA